TTTCAAGAAATAATCAGCACTCTTTGTGTTGCTTTTATTCTATTTTAATTGTCTTTAGTGAAACAGCATTCAAAGCCATATGGATCGGTTTACCACATACAGCTTTTTAAAACTTCAACATTGATAGTAATTGAAATGTTTCAATTTTTTCAGGATTGGACTCATTTTATTGGAATTATCTTTAGCCATTGGAATTCTTCGTTTAATTTCTGCGGACCATTTTGAAAAAAAGAAGTAATTATGTATCCTAGATATTTAAACTATTGAGCGTGTTTGATCTTTTCACCTGTTGTTTACGAGAATACAATTTTATAAGGATTGACTACTGTTTTTATCGCTATACAAAAGCATAATTTAAAAAAATATTTAAAATATAACAATAACACCCAGCACCCAAACCCACACAGCTAAAAAAGTAAATGTCAAAAGATTTATATTATACTATGGCTGTCTTCATCTACTCGCATATAGAATATAATACACGTGCATGTAATATATTTGCCATACACTCAGTATGATCTACTTTTATTTTGCACTTTAAGCCAAACGCGTCTCCCAAAACTGTGTGGCACAAAACGTAGACGGTTCAATACAAACATTACCATATGTTGTGACGTAACAGCGCGTACAGCATTACTGGATCCATCGCCTCCGACAAGATTCGCCTCATCATTAATGTACGCACACAGGACCCATGTGAACTACGCTTTCAGTCAAGGTTTACTCCCAGGATTCCGTGTACCCTGTGAGCTCGTCTGCCGCAGCAAATAGTTTATCTAGGGCTCTCAACAAATGCATTGACTCCTCGATCAAGAAACACACGTCGCTGAAATGTGTGATTCTGGTGAGTTGGCGGGAACGCAAGAAATCGAGCCTCTGATAGTTCAGGCACAGTAGGCCGTCAAAAAAACTATGTCTTATGTATTGAATTAATTTACTATGTCTATTTATTTATTTTCTGTCAGTTTATACGAGTACAAGAGAAGAGTCCTCGTTTCGATGAGCTGAGGGAGGCTTTACCCTTATGACTCCTTTATCTGTTTTCTTTTTCTTTTTTCACTTTCTGCTATCAAACTAATTGTCAGAGTTGTAATATCATGTATCCTTTACTTGAAAGGATCACTAGTGTCACTCGAAGAAACTGTACTGTCTTTTTTATGAATTTACATCTCAGTTGAATCAATCTATGACGGATGCTCAGATCTGGTTTCCTCTTCCTTTCCGTTCAAGTATCTATAGTCTCTACAGCTCCTCTTTCTTGATTGTGTTTATTACTCTCTTGTAACACCTCTATTTTTCGGCACTTATATGACCCGATTGTGTTGAAAGTACCGTAAAACTCTAACAAAAAACAAATATAACACTATACTAAAATATATCTTTACTGAAGATTGGAACTGAGGTGTCATGGGGGCAGGGTGGGGGATGGGGGGTGGGGATGGTGAGGTCTAGGTACTATTTGGAATACCCTAAACATTCCAGAGAAAATGTTTACAACAGTTCTTTGGAATATGATGAGTTCTTATTTTCAATCAACTTCGTTCTTATGAATCAAGAGCCTGGATTTTGTTCTCTCAGATGTACTTAATGCTCACCCGAGCTGTTAACCCCAGAACATGGAGTCCATCAGGTCCTAACTATATAATTTAGCAGCACTAGGGGCAGCAAGATCTTTCCATTAGGCAGCAAATGCGATCAAGCAGAGTATGGTATGTACGATCGCTTTCACACAAGCCGAGCGGCCAGCAGTAAGCAAAATGAGAACTTTCCCTTGTAGAAGTACTTTGAGTTGGAATGTAGGTTTGCCTAGTCTACTCGGCGATTCTATTATGCGTTCTGTGAATGGAGAGAAGGAGTGATACAAACTGATTGAAATACCACCTAGAGGGTAAGAATAGTAAGTGGTCATTCTTGACAGGAAGTCAGAACGGACAGACGGTATGACGTTTATTGTCGCCACACTGCTTTTTATTACGGCCTCTCTCGTCCTTTTATCCTATTAAATCGGTGTGTGAATCGTCGGCAAGCTGTTTCAATGTTCTAATCCAAGAAAGCGAAATTGGTCAGAACAGAGAAAATAAAAGTTCAATTCGTTTATAAACTGCATTTACGACATGTATGTTTTCTCCTCTTATTTTGATTAATATGTTTTTCCAACATCCAGAATGGATTTCTTGGCTTTCATGAGTTTATGAGAGTCAAACAAGAGTACATATTATTTTGTCATTTGAATTTGAAGTTCAGGGATGAATACATTATGTCATCTGTTTTTAAAGTACAGTATTACACTAAAGCACTATAAATTTGGTCTTTTATGAAGCACTGTTTTATTAAACAAATTGGGGCTTAAATCGTGTCCAGAAAAGTTAAGTTAATAAGGAGAATACCTCTGACATTTTTAGGTGTAATTGAGACAAAATCAGGTTTAAAAAATAACTGTCTATTTTGGTGTGTGTGTGTGTGTGTGTGTGTGTGTGTGTGTGTGTGTGTAACAGAGCAACATTCTACGATCTACGGAAATCTGACCTGACCGACTGATACACTTATAGTAACTGCACTGTTGAGAGATAACTCAAAAACAATATTTAACTCCGTTATGTAAGCACGTGTATTACAATGTCAGAAGTGCCGGTCTATTTTCTAGAGAGAAAAAAAAAACAACAACGAAGAAACTTCTTAGATCAGATGCATACTGCAGAGTTTCTAGAGAACAGAGATATAGAGATAAAAGACATATATAGGAGTAGCGCATGCTTACATGCATTCCTTTTCAAATTGTAAGTCTATGAAACAACGAAGATACCTTTTTAACCGATAACATCAGGCTGGCAGTAGACGCGCGAGATTACCATATATACAAGGCTAACAAAACAGAGGTTTAAATTGCTGTGGTCTCTGGGTTTTGTTTTTAGCTGGACCTTTAATACTTTTAGCTAAGTACTTTGTCAAAGGAGGATCGGGGTGGGGGGGTGGAGGGTGAGGGGGGGAGGAGGTGAAGGTATCAAAATGAACCAGTCGTCCTTCGGCTACATATTTCGAGTTTCTCGATTTCTATAAAGTACATCTGACATGAAGATAATCATGTATATTATTTGGAAAACAAAGAGTACTGAATTGCTAGCCACATTATGTCGCTTCCTTTTACTGCTAATGCCTATAACACACTTCAAAACTTCAACTCATCAAATGTGCCTTATGTAAGTATTTTATAAAATTCACACACTCCCTGTATAGCGTAACTGCGCAAATTAAGGTGTACGAGCTCAAAAATGGCCCTAATAATTCAATTAATTATGCAATTGTCATGAAGTGACTCATCATCGCAACAAGACCACATTTTAGATGCTGTAGTACGTTATTGCTTCAATTTGTCCTTCGGTAAACACTCGCCCGTTTTTACACAGGTTCACGGAGAGAATCTTTACCACAGCTTGATACTATTTTTAGTGCGTGACATATCTTGTAAAAACAGAGTATTTTTAAAAATTACGAAATAACGTTTCATTAACAGCGATAGCGACCAGGACGCTTTACGAAAAAAAAAACGTATCTGGTTGTGTACAATCTTCGGCTTTTTCCAGCGATGTGCAGTTGCACCCGGGAAGTGAAGCTAAATTATTGTGCAGACAGCATCGTCCTCAGTGCACCTGCTCAGGAAATTACTGCTTGTAAAATTCCACAGGATTGTCTGGCTCGCAGTTTGGGCTGTACGTCAAGGCCTATTTAAAGAAGTCAGGCGAGAAGCCCCCGTATTCACCTATTTCTTTTGCCTTTTCCATGTATTGGAAAACTATCAACTTTTTATTGGTTTTTTTTTTCTTTTTAAAGATTTATCGATACCGTGCTTCCAAAGTAAAAAAAACAACGTTACAATCTTGTCCCCAAATCTTTGTGTTGTATAAAAAATAATACTTTGGAAAAAAATAATAGGGCAATTCTCCTTACACTGATGTCAATTCACACCCTCGCACACTTTGTTCACCTTTCTTCCGTTTTCTTTATCTTTTTCTTCCTCCCCCTCTCTCTCCGCCACTCTGTTTTGTTCTCTCTTTATCTCTCTCTCTCTCCTTCTCCGTCACCTTCTTTCTCTCCCTATCTCAGAGAACAACACTGGACAAGAAAACAGAAAAAAGAGAGAAAGACGGAGACCGAAACAGAGATGAGAGACAGTGACATAGCAATAGAGAGTGAGACAGATACAGAGACAGGGAGATAGACAGAAACAGTGACAAACATAGCGAGACTATTGCAATTAGTATCCTTAAAGCAACAACACGTTAGATACTACAAATACAAACCTTCTGTATTTCTCTCTCATGCTCTCTCTCTCTCTCTCTCTCTCTCTCTCTCTCTCTCTCTCTCTCTCTCTCTCTTTCTCTCTCTCTCTCTCTCTCTCTCTCGTTCTCTTTCTTTCTCTCTCTCTCTCATTCTATCTATATTATTCTCTCGCTCTCAATCTTTCTAGCTCCCCCACACTCTCTATCCCTTAGAGGGAGAGAGATTTTAAAAGAATAAAGGGACAAACACAGACCGAGAAAGACCTAAAATAAAGAGAGAGACGAAGGCGCAGACAGGGAGAGACAGACAGAGATAGATAGATAGACAGATAGATAGATAGATAAAGAGAGAGAGAGAGAGAGAGAGAGAGAGAGAGAGAGAGAGAGAGAGAGAGAGATAGAAATAGAAATGAAAAGAGAGAGGTCGATACGAAATAGAGACAGCGGCCGAGACTGAGAAAGAGAAATAGTGAAAGAAAGAGAGAGAGACAGCGAAAGAAAGAGAGAGGGAGAAAGGGAGGGAGAGAGAGAGCGAAAGAGAGAGAGAGAGAGAGAGAGAGAGAAAGAAACAGAGAGAGAAACAGAGAGAAGGAGGGAGAAAGAAAGAGAGAGAGAGAGAGAGAGAGAGAGAGAGAGAGAGAGAGAGATACAGTGAGAGAAGAAGAAATACAGAGAGAGGCAGAGCGAGAATATGGCAGCCAGATGGACATTACACGAACTAAC